ACAGGCCCTCCCTGGCTAAGATCCCCAGCCTGTCCCACACCCACTGTTTTTCCACATAGGACCAACAGTAATTTTCACTGTTTTCATCAAATGCTTTTGCACTGTCATTTTTAAACTGGCATCTATTACTTATACTTACATTAAGAAAAAGGTTATTTTCATTTTTAAATACAATAATGACAATGTTGGGCTGGGGATTTAGCTCAGTGGTTCTGCCACCTGCCTTGCAAGCACAAGGTCCGGAGTTCAAACCCCAGTACCAAAAAAATAAATAAATAAAAATGACAATGTTTATACATAATGAAAATCCAACTAAGGCAAGAAGAAGAAAACCTCTACTCTGGGTGTTACTGGGTGTGAGTTTCTCTACAGCCATCTAGACAACTGGCTCACACTCCACAAATACACCATCAAGCACACTTGTCACTTATCTCCCTTGGATCAGACTGACTTTATATGTCAATACATTATCAGTATGTATCAAGTTGACCATATTGTCAGGGTTAGATTAATAAAATTTTACAAGTAAAGATTACTCGATGACTATACTAAATTATACTGCAAATCATGATTTTTGCTTAAAATGACAATCTACTCATGCAACAATAAAAAATAACACAAATTAAAAACTTTGCACAAGGTAACATCCAGACTTTCAGATGGCATCACCACAGGATACGGTGCAAGCCAGTTAACCTTCAGGGATTTACCCTCGCTATACAACAGATCTTTAATCCTTTCTTTTGGCAGTGTGGGGATTAAACCTGCCAGGCAAGTGCTCTAACACTGATCTACACCCTTAGCCCCCAGCCCTAATTTTAAAAGGTTAACCTCAATGATGCTCAGAAAGAAGACTTCAAAATATCTCAAATTAACTAGCACCAAACAAAATCAATCAACATTTAAAAAAAAACAAAACAAGCAGCAAACTAGTAAAAAGCATCTTTTTGTTTTTTGGTACTGGGAATCGAACTCGGGACCTTGCGCTTGTGAGGCAGGCAGCTTAACCACAAAGCTAAATCCCCAGCCCCAAAAAGGATCTTTTAAGCTTCCAAATCTGTTAAAATGTTCTTACATCACAATTTTTTTCACTTTAAGTGACTCAACTTTGACAAAACCACTGCAAAGCCTTTTATCAACTGACAATCTTTTCTTTCTTTCCTTCCTTCCTTCCTTCAAAAATTTTTTTGGAGATAGGATCTTGCTGACCTTGAACTCACTATGTAGCCCAGGTTGGCCTCGAACTCACCTCAGCCTCCCAAGTGCTGAGACTACAGGAGCGCACCAACAAGCCCGGCTGACAATCTTTTCTGAATGAAAAAATTTTCTAATTAAATCATTACCTATGGTGCTAAGCCTTAGTTCTTGAAATTCACTCATCTCTCCCGTATTACTGAGTCTTCCCTCTCTATAAAGTGCCAGAGCACTTCAGCTGACAGCTACCTCCTCTGAGGTCTCCTTTTCACAGGTAAGCTATCCCGCCTCTCCCAAGATTCTGATCAAGTGCTGGTCACAACTACTCCACTGGACGGCTAATCAAGGTCACTCATAAACTCATCCTGCCAATCTAATCCTATTCTTACCCCACTTCTCAGAAGCAACTCAAACATCAGGGTACTCTCTCCTCCTCAAAATGTGTCTTCTTGGCTACTAGAACAGCAATCTCTCCCCCTCTTGTGAATCTCTGCTTCAAGTTTCTTCTCTTTTACCAGATCTTTCAAAGTCACATCATAACAAGGCTTGGTTCCACATCTGCTCTCTTCTAGCTACACATTCTCCCTCAGACATCTGACTCCATCCCAGGGCCCTCGGTGCCACCCACATTCACAGTCTCCTGGAGCTGAGGCTTTCTTGGAGCTCCAGGCACACGCAGTCATCTCTGCTTCCTGAACATCACAACTTGAAATCTACTTGGCCCCCTGAATACTGATTTCCCCCTCCAAAACCATTCCTCTTCAAGTTATTCTCATCCCAATACGTGGTTATGCCATCTAACTAGTTACTGAGGCTAAAATCCTTAGTTCTTATTTCTACTCCATTAACAAGTCCTTTTTACTTCTCCTCCAAGGACAGAATAAAATGAATCCAATCTGTGCTCCACATTATCAGTACCCAGACCTAAAGCACTCTTAGCTAGGTTGAGGTGAGAGATGGAACTAGAAATAGTAGCAAAGGTCAAATCTTGAGGTAAACTTGGGCAAACTTGACAGATTATGGACATGGCCGGGGATTTAGCTCAGTGGTGTTGCCGCCTGCCTCACAAGTGCAAGGTCCCAAGTTCGATCCCCAGTACTAAAAAAAAAAAAGATTATGGACATGGTATAACTGCTCCTATTCCCTTATGGCTTATCATTTTGAAAACAGTTGACTAAGAATGAAGCTGTGATAAGAACAAGGTGAGGAAAGCCATGAAGAAGCCTAGGGAAAGAGCTACCGGTGACTGTCATCGTCCTGTCAGGATTCCTCGTGACTTCCCTTAGTTCTGGTAGCAGTGGCAGGTTACTCAAGGGACTATAAGACTCTGATCAGTGAGGCTACAACCTCCTGAAAATAAATCAGCACTATCCCTGCAGCAGAAAACCCTAGAGCAAAACGGAGTAAGAGAAAACAAATCGAACATCAGGAATTATTGAGCCCCAAGTTTAATGGAAAAGGAAATGGGATACCACTGATTACTGGATTCTTTCTCCACCCTGATGTTTCTTTTCGTAGAAATAGGAGGCCATGGGCTGAGGATTTAGCTTAGTGGTTCTGGGACCTGCCTCGCAGGCGGAAGGTACCGAGTTCGATCTCCAGTCCCCCCCCACCAAAAAAAACCCCATAGGAGCCCAGGGCCAGGGATTTAGCTCAGTGCCACCGTGCCTGCCTCGCAAGTGCAGGCTCCCAAGTTTGTCCCTGGTACTGGAAAAAAAAAAAATAGCAGGCCAAAAGGAAGCCAAATAACCTCCAAATGTCTTAACATACGAGTCCTGAGTGAAAACTGGCTACCGGGACTTTCAGAGATTCAGAGCAAAATCCACATAATGGACTGAAATAGCTAACTAAAGGCTAAGGAATGTGAACACTGAGAGACAAAGCAAACACAGGCCTGGTCACACGGGCCTGCTCATCTGTTCTCGTCTGCTCTTCCTGGCGCCCTTTCTCATATGTGGGTTCTTCTTCTCGCGGACCAGTACCCTACTTGCTCAAATATCTCTCCCCAAGCCCACACTTTTCCTCTTACAAAAAGTGAAAAATAAAGTTAATTAAAATAAAATAAATAGCCAGGTGTAGTGGTACAAGCCTGTAATCCCAGCTACTTGGGAGGCTTAGGCAAGTGGATCAAAAGTTTAAGATCACCCTGAGCAACTTAGCAAGACATTATCTAAAAGTAAAAAAAAAAAAAGGGCTTGGGATAGGGTCAGGGATTTAGCTCAGTGGTTCCACCGCCTGCCTCCAAAGCTAAGGACCCAAGTTCGATCCCCGGTACCAAAAAAAAAAGGGATTGGGATATAGTTTAGCAGGGTGCTCCTGGGTTTGATCTCCAATAAGGGGGTGGGGGAGTGTCTTCAGGCTAAATTTTACCAGCCTGCCATTCTTCACTTTGTTCTTATCACACTGACATTCTTAGAAAAAACACCCCCTCAAAAAAGGCAGTACAGCTTTGTTTTTCATAGTAAACCTAGGTATCAGATAATCTAAACTGCCTTTCAGTAACCCTACTTCACTTACCAACTATCATGGATACTACCCACAATTTCTGTGTTTTGTTTTCAAAGATTTCTAAGAATCTCTCCATGAATCATGATTGATCTGATTACTATAATCTTCAAATCAACCAAATAATTAAAGTTTAGGGTGAAAACAGAAGAAATCAGAACTATTGATGACCTTAATCAACTAATTATTAAGTAGCTTCTTAGAAAAATACCTGTCTGAAAGATGATATTTTATCAAATTATGGGTGTTTTGTTTTGTGAAACAGGGTCTCACTTTGTAGCTCAGGCTGGCCTAAACTCCCAGCAATCCTCTTGCCTCAGCAACCCCAGTGGAATTACGTTTGTAAAGGAGATAACAATGTTTATTTTTTTCTATTCCATTTTGTTCTACGACAGAACTTAATGTGGCCTACACTGGTTTGAAGGTGCCCATTCACGTCTTAGAAGCTCGGCCCCAACAGTAGATCCTGAACAGGTGGGCCTAGTGGGTGGTCCTCAGGTACCTGCAGAGCCACCCTCAGGAGGGAATAAGCAGCTCTCAGGGGAGCCCTGAACTCTTCTGAGAGGAAGATGTTGTAAGAGGGGGCCTGACCCTTGAATCCTGACCCTGAAGAGCTCTCTGTGGCTTCTTGTTTCATGATGTGACCTTTCTCTCATACATAACTCCCACCATTGTTCCTTAAGCTGCGCCAATGCCAGTGCCCGGCCCTTGAGTCTCCCAACTATTAATAAATCTCTTTAAAAATAAAGTTAGCCTGTCTCGTGTACTTTATTACTCCAAGGCAAAGCAAGCTAATACAGAGGCCAAATGAGTGATTACTATGCATCAAAAATACAACATACTGGGCCGGGGATTTAGCTCAGTGGTTTTGCCACCTGCAGCGCAAGCACAAGGACCCGAGTTTGATCCCCGGTACCAAAACAAAACAAAACAAAAGATACTCCTAGTTATCATAAGCCAAAGAACAATTGTGGTCAAGGAGAAATAAAGGCATCTGGGTGACAATAAATCGAAAAGTGCTTGACAACGTCAAAGGTCACTGTGAACAGCAGGAGGGCAGAAGATGCAGTAGCAGCCTGCAGGTGTGTTCCCTTCACCCTGATGAACAAGCTGTACCTTGGCTTTCGTTCTAGATGGGCCTTCTCCCCCGCTTCATCCTCCTGCAAAGGGCCAGCAGTTTTCAGGCAGAATTACCCCTAAAATTTCATAATGCTATAAACACAGAGACGGAAACAAAGGAAAAATCATCTATTTTTTAAAAAATTCAATGAAATTTGGAACCAACTCCTTTTCAGACTTACCAAATGCTGGTGCACTAGAAATAGCAACCGGCTGCTGTTTCATGATGGGAGGAAGTGCAGAGGGGAGCTGATAGCCTTGTAGCTTCAGTTTGATAAGCTTCATTGCTATGGAAAACTCCACTTGATCCATTCTTCCATCGTTATTCATGTCAGCCAGTGCCCTGCAAAACAGTGGCATAGACTCAAAACAACTGTGACCATAAAAGAGCTTCTCCAGTCACCACTTCCGCATCACAAAAATAAAATAATTAGCACCCTTCCTCTAGGGAGAACAAAACAAAACTTGTTTTCCACACTATGGGGAAGAACCTACAAAAGACTGGCAAGGTCCTATATGAATATAGAATATCTTTTATTTTGTTACTCTTTACCTGTATGATACATCGTGTAATTTTCAGTCTGATTTTGAAGATCTACATTTTTAAAAAAAAAATTTTATTGGTACATTTTAGATATACATAATGGTAATATTCACCATAGGGAATTTGTACCTGTGCAGATACATCTTGCTTCTATTAAAGATTTGTATTTTAAATGTATTTCATTTTGATAAAAATGTTCTAAAATTAGTGATGAGGACTGCACAACTTTGTGAATATACTACAAACCACTGAATGATATGGTTTAAAATGATAAATTTTAATATATTAATCACGTACCATTAAAGCTATAAGGAAAACAAGATTTAGAAAGAGCATAATTTCTAAAGATAATTGGCTAAATTGTATTAACTGTAGACTTCTACAAACTTCAACATGGGGGCATGACATAGTTCAGCATGTTCTTGGCTGTGCAATGCCACACTATACTGCCACACAACTACATCCTAAAGGTCTTAAATTAACTTTTCTTTAGAATCCTACCATATACACACAACAATAAGTGAATCTGAGCTTATGACTACGCTTGACATTTGAAAACGCTACTCAAACATGGTCCAGATGCAACTTAGGAGTTAAGTGAAGTATTTTCCCTGAAGAGAAAAGTAAGCAGAAGAAAGAAAAGGGGTTGTACTTGCTATTGGAAACTATATTATACAACTAAAACTGTGCATATTTATGATTTACATGAAGATGTTTAGAGGGGGGAGGAGTCAAAAGAATTAAGATGTGTTCTATACATGTACCAGTGTCCTAGGATGAATGCAATCTTCTTTTAATCAGGATATTAAAAATGCAGATTTTCCTAATTCAATCCTATGAAAAAATTTATTTGAAACATCAAGACAAGCTAGGCCATTAAAATGCATTACGAACAATCTTTTAAAGACTTAAAATTTTATTAGTCTGTTCATTTCTGTGTATACCTTTACCACATAGAAATTTTGTATTTTTATATAGCATCTTTTATCACAATTTGTAGGTTTGCGATCCTTGACTTTATAAGACTGCATTATTTACTTCTGTTTTTTGAGCCAGGGTCTACATTGCCCAGGCTGGCCTTGAACTCCCTGAACTCTCAATCCTCCCACCTCCTTCCAGAATACCTGGGACTGCAATACAGATGCATGTATGCTCCTAATCCCCGGCTAAATTTGGATTACTTCATTATATTTCAGTCTTTAAATCAACAATTGTGTGTATGTCATATTATTCTAGGGTTCAACCTTGTGTACTTGGTCTAGATGGATACCTAACTTTTCCAGCAATATTACCTGATGCCGCCTCTTCTCAACGACCTTACATGCTTTTGCTGTATATTGAATGTTCATCTGGAATGAGATTTATTTCTGGATTATCTCTTCTGACTGAACTAACATGATAGTGAACTGATCACACTGGCCCTATGGTGTGTTCTGACATGTAGCAAGGCTTTTTTTTCCTTTAAAAGAAAAACAACCTTTTCTTGGCTATTCGTGGATGTTTGTTTTTCCCTATGAGCTTTCAGATTATTTTCTCTATTCTACAAGCAATCCTATGGGGCCCCAAAAACTGCTTTAGATTTCTATGTTTTTTAGAGAAAGTTATGTGTGTAATTAATTTTCTGCCTACCAAGGGAAACAGTGTGCTTCCATTTTTTCAGATCTATTTCCTCTAATAAGATTGTATGACTTTCCTCATAAAAGCAATAAACGTTTTAAATAACTATATTCCAAGGAACTTTATCATTTTTTTTTTTGTACCAGGGATCGAACTCAGGACTAGCACTTTCAAGGCAGGCAGCAGCACCACTGAGCCAAATCCCTGGCCCTGGAACTTTATCATTTTTGTCAGAATTTTAAATGGAATATTTGTTGCACTGTAAATTTGGGGGGGCCAATTTGAAGGATAAACTACACTTTTATTCTTTTTTTTTTTTTTTGGTACTGGGGATGGAACTCTGGTCATTGCACTTGTGCAGCAGGCGGCGAAACCACTGAGCTAAATCCCTGGCCTTTACACTTTTATTCTCAAAAATAGTTTGTGCTATATTCAGCTATCATACAAACTTCTATAAATTTTGTTATTTTTTAAATACTAAAATCTCGGGCGGGGGATTTAGCTCAGTGGTTCTGCCACTTGCCTCGCAAGCACAAGGACCTGAGTTCGATCCCTGGTACCAAAAAAAAACAAACAAAAAACTAAAATCTCTTGGGCCTAGTAAATAATCACAAAACCTGAAAAAAGGAGCATTACCTTTCTTTTCCAATATTTATAACAATCTTATTGTTATTTGCTTCTAATACATTATTACACTTTCCTGTCTAGTTTTGAGTTTAAATGAAAGGGCTTTAGTATTTCACTCTTTAAAATTATGTTTGGTAGTGATTGGGATTTTTTTGGTACCAGGGATCAAACTCCCTTCCTTGGGCTTGCGCAGCAGGCTGTGAAACCACTGAGCTAAATCCCCCGCCAGGTAGTGATTGTTTTGGAAAGTAGTCTAACATAACTTAAACAGGAAAAGTTACTGTATTTTTTTATCAAAGGCTTAATCTGCATTTGCTTATCTGATCACAAGTTTTCTTCTTCCTCCTATCTGCTGATATAAAGTCTAATGGTGATAGAATTTCTTAGTTCTGAAACAGTCTTGCCCCTCTGGCATAAACTCTACATTATTCTTTTCAAATATTGTGAAATTCTACTTACTAAGATTATGTTTTGGTTTTTGCAGCTATATTCATAACTGAATTTAGTCCCTCGTTGCTTTATTTTTATACTATCAGGTTTTATACTGTAAAGTTAGGTAAATAAAATGACACAGCAAACTTTCCTTCACTTACAAGTATTTTTACTGTTTGAAATGATTTTCAGGGGAAAACAGACCTTATTAATTAATGCCTACATACATTAGGGGAGAAGACATTTTCTAATAATGGCTTAATTAGAATAATTTATTGTTTCTAAAAACCTTTCCATTAAAGTGTCTCCTAGGCAAGGAGAAGAAACATGTAATCCTCAAGTTTTAGGGGCTGAATTTTAAACCACCTAACACAGTTCTAACATTCAGTTGAGTTTTGTGGGTCTTAAAACAATTTTTTTCTCAAATAACAAAATGTAACTGTTGAGATTCCTAGACAATAGAAAACAAAAAAGGAATTTATGGCGATGTAGTTACTCCTACAAAGTTCAGCTTTCTATCCTTTCCTTCCCTGGCCCCTAAAATACTGGAATGGAGCTGACATTCTACCTCTCAATGCTTCTCTGCAAAAAACTCCACTTCAGTTCTGCCATCTATTTCATCTCCCACTTCGTTATTTCTCCAAGTTAACCCATTACTACTAATCCTCCCTCAACAAACTGTAAGCCCAACAATATTGAAATTCAACTCACAAAATTTCCAAAGTAAAAATATATGCTAAAACAGCAAATAATTACTATATATGACTCTGAAAGCAAAATGATTTTCAATACATTGTTCAGACTGAAATTAAAAGCTATTTGAAACAGGTAGGGCTGAGATGAGTTCAAAATGAAGGAAAACTATATAAGAAGCATTTACTCTTTGACCCAGTAATCACACACCTAGGAATTTACCTTGAGGATACATTTCTAACAATATAAAAGTACACACACAAAAACTCACTCATTGCTGCATTACTTATTACCACAAAATGTTGGCAATAACCTAAACACAGGACAATGGTTGAATAAACCATAGTATATCCTCTATCCTGAGTGTACTACGTAAATGTAAAAGGAAAATGGCAAAGATCTCTAAAGACTGCTATGAGTGGTTTCCAGGATAATATTATTAAGTTTTAAAAAAGCCAACAAAAAACAGCATTTATACGAGATTATCTTTAATGCAAGAGGAAGAGATCTAAACATAAATATATACACATTATTCCTTAGGTATCACCTGCCCCGCCCCATTCCCCCAATAAACAAGAGTTAATAAGAAAATAGTAAAATAAGTGGCGACAGTAAAGAATAGGAGTATGAGTGGTCTTTTCTGGGTATCCCTCTTGGTATAGTTTTGGCTTTAGAGCCTTGTTAATGTGTTACATATTCAAAAAATAAAGTCTCTAAAGAGAACTACTAGCATATTATTTTAATTTTTTGTAGTATCAAAGACTGAACCTAGGGCCGGGGATTTAGCTCAGTGGTTTCGCCACCTGCTGCGCAAGCCCAAGGACTGGAGTTCAATCCCCGATACCAAAAAAGAAAAGATTGAACCCAGGGCTTCACAAATGCTAGGCAAGCACTCTACTGCAGAGCTATATCCCCAAGCCTGCTATATCCACAAAAGGGCACAAAAAGCTAATCCAAGTGATTTATCAACATTGTACTTTTTATGTCCTCAGTTTAAAAATGAAAAGAACTACAAAGTAATCTTGGAGTTAACAGGCTGTTTTGTACTGGGTACAAGTATAGCAATTTTGACACTACTTAGTGTATATTGTGGGATAAGGGAAGAGGCCAGACTTCTCAACTCCAGCTCAGTCACTGGCGCTGGGCAAAAGCCCACAGTATTTTTTCGGGTCCCACCTCTACCACACAAGCTTGTTCACCTCACCTGGGGCCACCAAGCTAAACAAAAAGCCAAGCAATAATGCAGATTAATTCACCTCAGTCATTCAAAAAATAAGTGGTGGGGAGACAGGACACTAAGATCTAACCACTATCTAGGATTTGGAATTTTAACTCTGGGTATTTACCCTCACAAAGTTTATATTTTGAGGCAAGGAGACATTAAAAAGAGAACAAATCAGCATAACGCCAAGTGCTATTAAGATACAGAGAAAAAAGAAAGAGAGGAGTGGGTGGGCAGAAGGATCATTAGTTAGGCTAGTTTGCCAGGGAACACCTCCAGGGACAAACTGAAACCTGAAAGGTCATGAACCAGCTACAGGAAAGTCCAGAATGGTATTAAGGAAGTGCAATGACTCTGAGGCAAAGAACAGGAAGGGTAAATTCTGGAGGACAGAAACTGAGAAAGGAAGTGATGCAAAATAAGAGAAGAAAGGTCTGGGTGTGATACTGTACACTTGTGACCCTGCCATTCTTATACGGCTGAAGCAGTACCACAAATTGGAACCCAGCCTGAGCAACTTAGTAAGACTCTGCCTCAAAATAAAAAATAAAAAGGGCTGGAGATGCAGCTCAATGGAAAGGCCCTGGGTTCAATCCCTAGTACTGGGGGAAGGGCAGATGCAACGGGACTTGTAGCTTGGGAATGGCTTTGGATTTTATTCTCAATGGAGAGTTTTAATGGATTTACTTTATAAAATATTATTCCAGATGCTGTTTAGAGAATGGAAATGTGAAAGAGAATCCAGTCTAGATGCTATAGTTGTGGGACCAGATGAGGTGACAAATCAGGATGACAGAAAGGAGTGGCACAATGGAGATAAAGTGGGTAAATGGAGTCAAAAATACATGCTGAAGCACTGACATCCAGGGTGAAGAAAAGAGGAATGAGGCGTGGCTCCCATGTGTTGTTGGGGCAGCTGGCTGACCTGCTCAATGTCATGGACTCAGAAATAAGCAATGGTGGACAGGGGATTAAGAGTCCAGGGTGACTTTGAGGAGGGGCGTAATAAAGGGGTTTGGCAAATTGATCTTGATGTGGGGCAAAAGCCCTTCTGACACATACTCGAGAGTCCTACACTGTATGGTCACGTGGTCCCTGGCCTACCTCCTCCTGGAAGCAGACCAGCAGCCTGTCTAATCCACTCTGCTCCCTCTTCTCCCTCCGAGGCCCACTTGCAGGTGGCACTCCTCCCTTTCTGTCATTTTTCGCCATGTCTATGGTCTTGTGGCCTTTGATTTCTAACCCCTCATCCAGCCTCTTTGCCGCTACTTCTTTTTCTTCCTGTACCTTCTGATACTTGTCTATCCCCTTGGCTTTCTCCAACTCCTCCACACAAGGGCACAACTCAAACAATTTTTAAGCATTTCAGTTGCCAAAAAGATACTGGCCAGTTTCCTTCCAGCTCTTTGTTAATAAGGCAATTTCTAAGAAGAGGTATCATCTTGGCCACTCCTACAATTTGGCATTACACACACTGACCAAACTTCATCTTCTGAGAATTAAGGTTTTCTTTTATTCTTCACTGGAAATTAGATGGGAGAGACAAGTAGTCCTCACACTATGAATAGGGTACACTTCACAAACTAGTTAACTGGAATGTAGTTTCTACATGGCAACAGAACACTATAAAGGTTTCTAGCAGTATATTGCTTACCAGTCTACACCCTTCATGTATTTTAAATGAAGTCCAGAGTCAAAAGTCAGATTAAGAGACAGAGACAGAGTCACATACAGAGAGAGAAAGAAAGAAGACTGAGACTAGGAACAGTTGCCAATTCTCAACCTAAAAAGAATTAGCAAAAGTGACTTTCAGGGCTGAGGATGTAGCTCAGTGCTAGTGTTTGTTAGTATGTGAAAGGCCTGGATTTGATCCTCAGTATGGCAAAAGAGAGGCGGGGCGGGGGGAGACTTTTAGCATCATAGCTAAAAATAAACATGACTTTGGGCTACTAAAATAAAAATAACGTAAAACTAAAAACTTTCTTAATTGATAAAAGTGAAATTTATTCAATCATACCTTGCTTTCCTCTATAACATTTAAAGCTGGGTGATAATTTTTATGTGGTTATCAACTATCTCCTTTCATTTTATTAGATTGTAGTTTTGATTAAAGGGCAGATTTTGTCTATTTTGTTCCCAACTATATCTCTCACATTAACAAGTCAATGACTCACAGCAGAAATCTGATAAATGTTTTCAGTGTTTAAAGAATAAACATGGAATGGAGTGAGGTGTTCTGGCAGCAGAACACCCATCAAAGGTGTTTCTTGAATGAAAGATCAAAAATCAGGAATACAACAGAAAAGCACACTTCAGTGGAGGATTAGTTAAGCCTGAGAAAGCAGTTGCAATGAGAGGCATGGATGAAGGTGTGAAACAGGGTCACATACCCAGACGCAAAGAAAAGCAGCTTGTTACAATTAAAACAGATGCCCACAGAAGTCACTGCACGTAACTGACAGGACAGAGCTCCTTTCCTGTGTGGCAGGACTTCTTGCTCACGTGTCAGACCTCTGAGCCTTTGACTTTCCTAGCTGGAGCAGACCGTAGTTCCAACTAGCATGGCTTCGTAGAAGCAGGCTGACTGGGGGAAAAGAGACAGTCCAGCAGCCAGCATGCTGACAACCAGGAAAAAGGAAAGAACAGACACCCAAACCAGCACAGGAATCTGGCATCATTTATTTTCAATTTGACTGTATCCAAAACAAGGAAAAAAATACAGGTAGCCCATGAAAATTTTGTTATTTCAGAACATGATTTTCATGATAACTTTAAGCAAGAAAAAAAAGTTGAGTTCTAAAGACTGTTTTGAGAGCAACAAGAAGCTATACTGATCTTTATCAATTTCCACAAGATTATAAATAAAAACAGATAGATTATTTAAAAGGACAAGTCACAGACATTTTGGTTATGTGGACTATGGTACTCTCTGGTGCTAAAAGCTATTTTTTTTGGATTTTTTTTGAGGGCCAACTATGTGACAAGCACCACACTAAGTCCTTTATGTACAGCTTTCCCACTAATCCTCCCAGTATCTTTGTGACAAAAATACAAAATATATTCCCATTTTATAGATTAAGAAATTGAGATCAAAGAGGATGACTGTATCTTTCAAATCATAGAAACAGAAAGTGGTACAGGTAGGATTTAAACTCAGGTATATGACTATAAATTATGTGCTCTTTCCATGATAGAAAGCTGCCTTCCTAACTCTAGTAAACACAGGGGAAAAAATATTAACTGTAAGAATCATATTTTGTAGGAAAATGTGGCCTCTTACAGGACAACAGAACTCAGCATGGCTCCCCAAAGCCGTGAATCTAGAACCCAGAACTATTATTTGCCAACCTTTCTCACTTGCTCTTCCCGTAGCTCCAGAAGACTCAATGCCTATTGTGATAGTCAAAGAATCCAGTAATTATCTTTTATACATTCATCATGTACCATACTGTAATAAATACTGATTATTTCTTTTTTTGGGGGGTACTGGGGATCAAACTGGGGACCTTGAGCTTGCCAGGCAGGTGGCGAAACCACTGAGCTAAATCCCCAGCCCCAAATACTGGTTATTTCTAATCTCCACTAATCCTCAAATAGTTTCTTAACCATTTATTCTTTAATTAATAAAAGATAAAGTGCATTTCCATTATAAAGCAACAATGATGGGGCATTCAAATGAGTATCATTGTTGTGGACGAAGCCAAAATAAGTTGGTAAGAAAATATCAAAGTGTATGCATTTCAACTGGAAGTTCAGGGCTGGAGGTTTAGCTCAGTGGCGCCAGAGCCTGCCTGGCAAGCGCAAGGTCCTGAGTTTGATCCACAGTTCCGCAAAAGAAAAAAAAAAAAAGAAACGTGTGTAAGTCAACTGGAAGTTCAACATTTTGACAGAGCATTACCATTCAAATGTTAACCCTTTCCCTTTTTCCTAAGTTCCGCAGCATAATGACACTTTCCAGAAGTACTTCTTTGGGAAAAGGTATTAGGAGTATTCTGTCATAGAGATGCAATTCTCTTGGCATATACCCTAAGAAATCATACTAACAAATAAACAGAATTGGACAATATTTTATTTCACTCTATTTAGATAAAATTTCAACTTACCATATCTGTGCTAAGACAGGCTGAGGTAACCCAGATTGAAAAAAAAAATTCCTTGCTTGATCACCTGTAAATTAAGCGGAAAAATTTTCAGAAAAAAATAACAGCTAACAGAAATCTTACAGAAAATCACAAAAACAAGAAAGAGTCTGATAATCCTATAAATACTGAACTGAACTAAATATATAATAAAAGTCAAGCAACAGTAAAATGAATCCAACAGCACTGACCTTAGAACTAAACGCTTTAAAAAATTTACCTAAGAAAGTCCCAGTATTTGCTGGGATAGATCGTCCACTTTAACCCACCATTAACTAAGATGTTAGCTGCCCATCATAACTGTTACCGTTTAGATGTCAAAGGCCTCCCAAAGGCCTAATGTTAAAGGCTTAACCCCCAACGTGGTGCTCTTGGGAGGTGGTAGAACCTTTATGAGGTAGGGGCTAGTGGAAGATCACAGATCACTGGAGCTGCCCTCAAAGGGGAGAACAGGACCCCAGCCCTTTTCCCTTCCTCTCTGTCACACCTGCCATGAGGGAAGCAGCCTTCCTGCTTCACACGCTCTTACCACAATGTACTGTGCCATCACAGGCCCAAAGCAACAGGGCCAAGAGACCTTGGTCTGACACCTCCAAAACAGTGAGCCATTATAAACCTTTCCTTTGAAAACTTGATTATCTTGGGTATTTTGTTACAATGGAATGCTAACACAATGACAAAGCACCTCTACAGGAAACAACTGATGAGCCACATCTACTTTATAAAAAGAATTCTTTGCTATTTCCAATACCTATTGTCCAAATTGTAGGGCCATCTAATATATATAGAGAGAGAAGAAAAGTAACAGTGTCTAAAAGAATCACATCAATGATGAAAAATAAAGCTATGACACAAACACACCCAAAAACATTTCCTCAAGAAATGTATATATTGTATTTTCCCTAAAGTGAATTCCAGAAGAGTAATCAAGCAGGGAAGACAGCAGAAGAGGCAAATTACAAAAAGAACTTTAGAGAGACAGTAATAAATATGCTATGTAAATGTTCAGAATCTGTTAATAGTTTCCTAAACTAGCTTAGGATCAAAATCAAGCCAGTGATTTAGCTTCAGGGCCACTGTCTAATCCTACCTTTCTTAGAGAATGTTCCTTTGATTGTTACCAATTCCCATCAGTGATATGGCCCAAACAAGTGGCTTAATATGCACTAAGGATTACAAACAAGATTTGAATGCATCACCAGAAAAGCAAGAGTAAACAAATACAGGCTGAAGGTCCAGACCAAACAAGCTGCCCCCTTCACCATGCATGCCCACTTCTGCTCTGCAGAGTAACACTTGCAGAGATAATCAGGCCACTGCTAAGTAAGATGTGAAAATACAGACTGTAATTACCAGTAATAAATCCAGATATTGGCTTTAAACTATGGAACTGCTGATCATGCTTCGCTCTTTCCTCTACCGTTATGGCCCAGATATCCAGGCTGCCTACAGTTCAAAGAAAAGACAGGTAAGTTATTCAGCAAGAAAGAGACACAATTTCCACAGCACTTCCAGGTTCTATCAATGTGTTATAAATGATAAATTAACATGGTTTTCCTTGGGAGCTATACATATAAAATTAGAGAATTAAGAGTAAATCACGGACCAGGGATTTAGCTCAGTGGTTTTGCCACCTGTTGCGTAAGCGCAAGGACCCAAGTTCGATCCCCGGTACCAAATAAAAGAATAAATCAGAACCAATAAAAAATTAGCACAAACTCCTTCTTAGAAACATACCATAATCCTACAGTTAGGATTATTTAAAGACTTAGAAAGTTAATAATTTAACTGCACTCTTAAGTACTTTTAAATGTCACAGGCAAACTATGAGGAAAAAAAAAGTTAAATGTGTAAGTTGACTGAATCATGGGTTTAATTCCCAGCATTAAAAAAAAGCCGCATCGGGGTGAGGTATGTAGCTCAGTGGTGCCGCACCTGCCTAGCAAGCACGAGGTCCTGAGTTCAATCCCCGGTACCAAAAAAAAAGCTTCATATAACAATTACAATACTGTGTGATTCCATGAAAATCTTTTTGAGTCATAAAAATATTCAAATATTAATATTCAATATTCAAATATTGTTATGATGGTTGTATAACTGTAAATTTACTAAAACTCATTGAGGGCCAGGGATTTAGCTCAGTAGTTTCGTTGCCTGCTGCACAAGCACAAGGACTCGAGTTCAATCCCTGGTACCAAAAAAAAACAACAACATTGAACTGTACAGCTTAAATTAATAAAAGTATATGACATGTGATTTCTCACTAAAGCTGTTTCTAAAAAGAGTATTCTGATAAAAAATAATAGCCAACCAAAGAGAATGGGATTTAGGTTTTTCTTCTGTTTTAGCCTTGACCAGATGTCTCCTGGCTTCTGAGATTTCCTCTCTTTGACCCTTAGTCGCCTCCAACAAATTCAGCAAAATATTTGCAGATGACAGACATGGGGAGATTTTTAAAGTTTTGACACTTTCCCAAAAAGGACATACTATGTAAATGTTTCATACAAAAGGTGAGTATGAGCCAGGTGTAGTGAGTGGGAGAATGAGGCAGGGAGACTGCAAGCTTCAGCTCAGCCTGGGCAACTTAGCAAAACCCTATCTCAAAATAAAAACAATTTTTTTAAATGCCAGGCATATTGCTTAGAGAGAAGGCCCTGGCTTCGATCCCTAATGGGGGAGAAAGTATCCCCAGGAAAATGTCTATACATTGCAAATCCCCTCTTTATAGGATCTGGAATGAAAGTCATAGTGGGGATTCATTCAGTCATGAGAAAATATTTACCAAACACCCTGTGTGTCCCAAGTACTGTGTCAAATTACAGGAGCAAAGTGATGCCTGAGAAAGACGGTCCTTTCTCTCACAGGCCTTACAGACCTGCAACTTCTAGAAAGGATTCTTATTCCCTGTCAGAATTGATCCCTAGAAGTATAAACAAAAGGAAAACAAAAAACAAAAAAACTGCACAATAATTAAGAAGGTGAGAGGCCCTGTGTGGTCACACACACCTGTAATCCCAGCACTCAGGAGGCTGAGGCAGGAGGATTGCTGCAAGTTTGAGCCCAGCCTGGGCTACAAAGTGAGTTCAAGGCCAGCCTGAACTGCATAGCAAAACTCTGCCTCAAAAAGACCAAAAAAAAAAAAAAATGGTGGGGAAAATCCCCACAAAATACTAAAGATCTAGAAAAGGCTGCAGGTGTCTGCACTGACATGCCACAGCGCCTTTTACAGATGTGGTCTAAGGACAGTGCTTTGTGCCTCCTTACTCTTCTCAAAACCACTAGATTAGACAGCTGTCCAGAGTAATTTGCTAACATGGCACTCTTTTGTTGCTGAAAAGATACTGGGCTATTAAGCAAGAACTACATTTAACAATTTCCTCATGTGGTCAGTAAAATTACCTGAAAAACACATTTTATGCATATCGCTGTTTCCAACTGAAAAACTAAAGTTAAAAAAACACCATACTTCAAATCCAGGTTTCGAAAGTCTATAATAAATGATAGTCACTTTGACAAACAAATTGCCAAGACAAGAACTCCCAAAGTAAGAGACTCTGGAGACACAAGAACTACCTGCACTGCATGCACCTTCCTTGGGGCCCAACTTGAACACACCAACTCTATGAAAAATGGCTAATGACTACCAGGGAACATGGGTTTAAATTTTGTAAGTGTGATAATGTGGTACATTAATTTTTATAAATTTGATAATGGTATCGTATTTATGTCTTTTTAAATGCCCTTATCTTTTAGATACATATACTAAAATATTTACAGATGAAATTATATAACTGGGAGTGACTTCAAAAGAATTCAGATTTAACGATACTGGCCATCAGTTGATAATTATTGAAACCACATTATGAAACACAAGAAGGTTGACTGAACTTTCTCACTGAAAGTTTATCACCACATTGTTTTAAAAATCTGGTCCCAAGTACAATAGAAAAGAGAAATTTCCAAAAACTTACCACCAAAAGGTGTTGGAAACTGAGCCATGGTTCTGTTATTTTTCCCTTCCTAATTGCTGCCTGTAATTGAAATAGAATGTTTAGTTTATGAAAACTTCACTCCGGTCTACTTAAAAACATACTAATATGCAGTCTGATCAGAGGACTGACCCTAGAGCTAGGTATACCTCTACAAATGAGAGCTAAATGAAGGGATTCACCCATTCATTCTCTGAGTTTCTCTGAGTGATGCCTATGAAGGACTAGCAAAAAGAAGCTTTCAGTCTGGTAACTGATGCCAGTAGCTCAGGGCAGCCTAGGGTATCACCAATGCTGTCCTTGTTACATTTTAAGTATAGCACAAGGACTGTAGACCAGCCCATCTACCTGATGGTCACAACAGAGTCTTTTTATTTATTTATTTTAACAGCATCTTTTTATTGAGCACTTATATGCTACACATTATAACAGGTGATTCACAGACCTTAACTCCTTTCATCATCATCACAGTCCTGAGATAGCACTCTCTACCATACCCCTATTACAGATGAGGAAAACGAAAGGTAAGTGATTAGAGCAAAACCATACATTTAGTGACCAAGCTGGGATTTGAGCAGCAGCAGCCATCCCACAGCATGTGTTCTACCCATGAAGAACATTATCTGAATTGCTGTTAAGGATTCTGAGAAGGGCTCTCAATGATTCATATTAACCTAATGTCTGCCCAAAATACTAAACATAAATCCAATGCACAAAAATTCTCATAGGCATTATTGTTCATGAACAGTCGATGTCAAAGCCACTCCTCTTCATCACTAAAAAAATGCCAAGTTTAATATTTTCTCTGTATGCTTAGACAACAAAGTAAATGAACAGTACAAAAAGAATATTAGAGACAAAATTTTTTACATAAATTTAGATGTTAAAAAGGGCAGTCTTTTGCAGAAATATATCTCAATTTCATCTTCCAATCTGTTCATGGAATTTTTTTCCAACTATGGTATAACAGTAAATTTCAAAATTGTCAAATGCTCTTTCTTATACTCTATACTTTGTTCCCAGAACTCTATCTTTTCCTGTAATTTTAATGGATATTCCAGCTTTTTTGTGTGTCTGTTTCTCGGTTTTTGGTTTTGAGACAGGGTCTCACTATGCAGCCCAGGATGGCTTCCAACTCACAGCGAGACCCCTGCCTAAGTCTCCCAATTGCTGGGATAAGTGTGCACAGCTACCACACCAGGCCAATACTTCAACTTCTGATTTTTTTTCCTCCTCATTTGCTTTTTTAGCTTTCCTCTGTTTCTTGCATCACTTGGTTCCTCCAAGTTCCCTTTTTGTTGTTGTTGTTGTTTTGTTTTTTTGGTACCAGAGACTACTGAGCTAAATCCCCGACCCCCAAATTCCTTTTTTGTGTGTTGGCTAACTGACTGGGCTGGCTGTCTTTCTTTTACTTTTTTGTCTTACTTTTACACCCTAGTAACTCCTGGATGATCCTTTATATTTAAGAGTGAGGCACTAAAAACAGCTCAGAAGCTCAGCATGTGGACCGATGAGTTTTCCTGTACGATGCTCGTGTATACTGAGCAGTCTTTTCATCAAGAAACTCCAAATGTCACTGCTCACTGAAGCTGCTCATCTTCTCCAGAGAAAGAAGCGCTGGCTGGGGAACTATGGAGAGAGCAGGTGAGGATCTGCATTTCAGTGGGAGAACTGTACACCATCCCTTCGTTTTCAGCCCCACACGTCACTGCTCTACCCTGCAGCTTCTCTGGTTCCAGTGCTCCTCCTGCCTCACCAGAACCAAAGCAGACTGAAGTAGCCACCCGTGTGATGGGAACGGCCCGAAGACCTGGGTGGAGGCTTCCACCCCCACTTGGAGAGTCTGCCTTTAGGAACACATGAAGCCTCCAGGCCTGTGGAAGGCTTTCCAGGCATCCCTGGGGCGAGACGCAGCCGAGGCACCTCTTCCTTGGCCTCTGTGTGGACTTAGGTTTAAACTACGTCCTCTGTGAGCTCAGTCACCACTCCTCCATTACTCAGGGTTTGCAAAACAATTGTTAAAATGTCTTGCCAGTGCTTCATCTACTACTGTCTTTTCTCTGATGAGTTAACATCTGTTATGCTTCCTTTATGATTATGGTAGCCTTCGGGGAAGGAAAAAAACACCTGTGGCCAGGCCACCAAAGGTAAGTGCAAGACTGAGAATAATTTTGAAGCAGACTCCTCATGCCAATTCCATTTCAAAGCCGCAGCTGCTGTTCTCTCTCCATTATTTCTCACTCCATGTATTATGAAGGCAAGCTTCATAACTTCCCAAAACATTTAATGTATTTTATCCCATTTAATAATCTTAAAAATTGACATGTCATATATTTTTTCTCCAGCTCTTCAAAAATAACAAGCTCTGGATTTTGGAAACAAAGTGAAACAAATATTTAATATGCATAAGAGGAGAATACACTGTCTGTGCATTAGCTTTTACTCCCATTCCTGGCTGTTTTCTGCAAAATGTAAAAAAGTTACTGATTTCTTTGTATCCAGCTTACATTACACTTCACTACATTTTCATACTGACGCTATTCATCTTGCAGATGAGACTCTAAGGTTTTCTAGATCTTCTGGAAATAAAGAATTCAGACTTACATTATTGACCCAAACCAATAAAATCAAGATATATGAAAGTTATGACAGCAGTCATTTCTGGTTTTGTTTTGTTTTTTATGGTACCGGGGATTGAACTCGGGTCCTTGAGCTTGCGAGGCAGGTGGCAGCACCTCTGAGCTAAATCCCCAGCCCTAGCAGTCATTTCTGTATTGCCTGATTTTCATGGTGACAGTTTCAGTATTTATATTTTGTAGGTTTACTGCTCTATTGGTAAACAGTGTTTACAATGTTTCAGTAGGCTCCTTCTATGCCGAATTTTACTTGGGATTTTTATTAAGAAATAGCTGTTAAATATTCTTTCAGAAATTTTCTCCTGGACACTTTTCTTCTTAGCACTTTTCTTAATGAGATAATCATGTATTATTCCTAGAAATAACATTATGAATTATAGTGTTATGTTTCCTTAAAGTATCCTAGAATTTATATATATTTTTAAAAACCAATTTAGATATGTATGCCATCATTTTAGTAGGTAGCTAGGTTTGATTTGCAAATATTTTCTTTAGAATTTTTGCTTAAGAAAATGTTATACCAGGGCTGGGAATTTAGCTCAGTGGTTCCGCCGCCTGCCTTGCAAGTTTGAAGACCCAAGTTTGATCCCTGGTACCCAAAAAAAAAGGTTATACCTAATTTTATGCAATAATGGGGCAAATGAGGAAATGAATACATTTTTACTTATAAATTTTTTTACTATAAATTTGCAAAATTATCTTTTAGAAAGGCTAAAATAAAAAAAAATTTTTTTGGTTTTTTTGAGATAGTCTCACTATTTAGTTCAAACTGGCCTTGAACTCACTATGTAGCCCAGGCTGGCCTCAAACTCTCAGTGATCCTCCTGCCTCAGTCTCCCGAGAGCTGGGATTACAGGGGTGCACCACCATACCCAGCCTAAAATAAAATATTAACAGACCACAGGAATCACTGGAAATATAAAGACAGAGAACTCAAAGGGAATCAAAAAAAAATAATTTTAGAGGTGAATTTTAATTGAACTTCAAGGAATAAGTAGTAACTATTACCAAAATCATTCCACAAAGATTAAGTATTCCTCAATCTATATGTTATGAAGCTAGCATAACCTCAGTATTAAACCACAATGCTAAAATTATAAAAATAGACCATTATCACAAATACAGATATAAATTTATATCTTACTTTATTTGACAGTTATTTTGAGAGGGACACAACTAGATAATAGCATAATTCTTACGGTCCAAAGTGTACTTTAATCATTAGTGCCTGACAAAGAGCCTGTTTAACTTTCTACCCTAGAATTTAGAAAATAAACCCCACCCTACTGAATCTTTGCCCCAGTGTCTTCACCTCACTACGACCAACATTAGACTAAATTTATTTTTGACCCTTCTGACAGCCATCTCTACTTTCCCTTTATCTTGTATCTATCTAGTGACAACCAAATGGACTACAGACTCCTCCTGTACCTGACACTTGTAAACTAATGCCTTTCTCTCCTCTCCTCCCTCCTAAAGCCCTATCCTTTAGTGTCCCTAGTCTTAACCAGCTAGCAGTAAGAACTCTAAGAAAAATTAAATCACTTGGAGGTGTGGGCGAAGGTGTGCCTTTCAGGCAAATGCTGGTCTAAGAATGAAACTGGAATACTCCCACATACTGCGCTTTTCTGCTAATCACAGGTCCCCCAGTGCAATTCACACTAGGTTCTCCTCAGCACCTAGTGAACCTCAGACAAAAACAGCAATGCACACATGAAGCAACTGGATCAAATCTTCCAAACTCAGTTCTGTGCTACCTAGACAAACCCTGCTCCTATTTTGGTATACATTTGTTGTATGTATTATTATAATAGAAAAAAAAAAACAATTTGAAAAGGCTACCATATTTTAGAAAAATAATCACATTCAAGATTTTAAAATTTCACACACCAGAGTTCCAGTTCTGCTATACCAGTACAATCCCCCTCCCAGCCATTGTTAAAAACCCACTATAGTCTCTCTGTCCCACTTATTAAACAAAACACTGGTATGGCCAAGTGTGGTCATGCATGCCTGTATTACCCCAGCACTTAGGAGGCTGAGGCAAGAGGATCACCACAAATTAGAGGCCAGCATTGGCTACATAATGAGTTCAAGGTCAGCCTGGATTATATAGTAATACCCTGCCTCAAAAAACAGAACAGACAAAAGTCTGGAATAAATGCAAAGATTACTTGAAGACAACAAGAAGTAAACAAAAGTAGCCAGACTTTACAGGGAAATCAAAAGTTGTCCCTTTCTCCTTTTCTCTTCTCTAGCACCTCTCTGAGGTGAGAGTGAGCTCCAGTCAGGGAGCGATGCACTGAAGCAGAGGTACACACAAACCTTCAGCAGAAACCCAGTCTTTCTGATTAGAAGAACCAACAAAAATGATCCCTGCAGAGTGTGCAGAAAACCAGACAGGAG